GGTATTGCTTCATAGCTCCATCTCCAAGCAGCTACTCTGAAATTATACAGTGTCCATGGAGATATTGAATTTATCTTTTTATTTTAAACAGATCTTAAAGCAAGGAGTTAGATGCATATTCATTTACATCCACAGATTGAAATTGTATTTAAAACTTTGACGATTGTCTTTATTGAGAATTTAAACAGAAAATTGATTAAAAATGACAAAGGTAAAGTTTGTAATGTAAATGTCTTGTTGTCTTTGTTCTCAGAAAAGAAAAGTCTTTGGGGGCAAAGGTCACTCAGCATCCTTTATGTGGTTTCCAATGCAAAACACTGATAAAGTCCCATTATACTGGTTTATGGACTGGTATACAGATAATTCATAAACACAACAGCAAGCTGAAGAGAACTGAGGATAAAAAGAACAAACACGGTAATAAAACTTTGCAAGATAGAGCACCAGGATTTGCAAAAGCAAATCTGTCTTACAAAATAACACAGATGCAAAAGCTGTAAAAATCTGTATTTTGGAAATAAAATTAAAACAGTGATGCATGTTACTTCCAGAAATTCCCAGAAGTTCAGTCTGTCTTCAGAAGGTGTTTGTTTACAGAGTCCTTGAGATTAATCTCATGAACAAGCTGAAGGGGAAGAAACAACTTTTAAATGAAGAGCATGTTTTGTTTAATACGAGTTGTCCAAGTCAGTCTTACTGTGGTGTCACTATAATCTTCTAGAAGAACAAAGGATGAAATGTGCAAAAGGTTTAATTTATTCAGTCTGAGAACTATTAATAATTCAGAAATGTTTCAGTTCTTGATGGTTAGGGTCATAAATGGATGAATAGTGTATGTACTATTAGTGTCTGCACAGGAAATTCTTTGAGAAGGAAGAATACTAGATTTTTAATTGCTGATTAGAGCTGATGCTTTCTAGATTAAACCATTTTCCTAATAAATTTCTGGGTTTGTATTGTAGCCAGCTTCTTGTTTTGCTGACAGAGAACGATACTGAAGATTTAAAATAGATTTAAAAACAGTTTTCTTTCTTTAGCAACTGTGACAGTCTCAAGTCTGCATTATGGTGTACAAAAATATAGTACTTAATAATGAAAGTTACAATTTACACAGTTGGTCAACCTGGAAACAACCACATTCTTTCATGTACGCAGATGCACAAAACAAAGAGCCTAACAAAGAACATGTATGTGGGTTTGCTGATGACTCATCAAGTTTGATCGTTTGCTAAATTGAATTTCAGTGTACATCATCACCAGACTATCATGGTAGCAGCTTTTTATTTTTAATTAATTTTCTTTTTTTTCCCCTTAATTTACTTATGAGATTTACGTGGTTATTGAGAGTTAGTAATTTAGCCAGCCTTCTTTAGTATGCTGTTTTTTGTTTGTTTTAACTTAAGTAGCACTGTGATACGTATCAGAGTAATAAGCAATAAGATTTAGAGAACATTGAAAATAGTACTGTAAAAATCCATTGTAGTTTTATGGAATATGGAGTGGTATGAGCAGATGTGTTGTTTTGAACAGTGGAAAAAAAAAAGAAGATGCTTGTCCTTTGTCTGTATGGGAAATGTATTTCCCTGATTCTGACATTTAGATGCTGTGCGGTTTGCATGCAAGTTTGAATGTTATCTTTATAGGTGTTAAACATTTTTAGGTGCCTACTGAAAACATAAACAATCTATTCATGCTTCTCTTTTGGTCCAGTGAGTTTGGACTCAAAATTTCAAACTTCAGAATGTAAAATAACATGGGACTAGGCTTAAATTTAACTTGATGAGGAATATATTACAGGAGAAGAGTAATAAGTGCAGGTACTGTCTCTAAAATAACATAAATGTAACCAGATGCTTTTTTATTATATGTATTAAACTTGTGTTTCCAAAGATTTTTTTTTTTCTCATTCAATCGTATTCCTTTAGAAATATGTTGTTAGCATTTCTATAGTGATGTCATTGGATAGTTCCTCAATCAGAGACATTTCTTCTAGTGCTAGACAGACAGTAATATGCAGCAGTTGTCTTTAATACTTCATTTGTATTGTGCTTTTTCTATCCTGTGTGCTGAGAGTACTTCCAGTCAGGTTTACATGCACAACAGAATCGTGCTATATTAGGAGCATATTCATTAATGGTAAGCTGAAAAAACTTTTTTTTTTTTCCCCCACTAGTGGCTTTTTTTTTTTTTTTTTTTTCCTTGGTGGAGAGTGGAGGTTTGAGTAGGGAAAAGCTGGTTTTCTTTTTCTTCTTCTTTCCTTTTTGTTTTATTTTGTTTCTTTTTCCCCAGAACTCAAATTCTTTCTTCTTTTTCTGATTTCATTTACTACCTCTTTGTGGGTAGAGTAATACAGTAGCCATCAAGGTTGCAGAAAAAATAAGAGAACATTTAAATCATGAAATCAATCCATGATCAAGTCACGGTGAGAAAATAGGGCCACTGAACTGTAACTCCAGATGTGTTTAACATGGGTGAGGGTGTTTTTTCCAAGCCTGGGTTGTGATTAGACTGCTAGGACAAATCACTAATAGAAAAGTTTGCTGTCATATGTTAGGAAATACCCTTCTTTATGTTAGAACTGGGATGTGCTTCAGTCTTTGACATTAGTGTCATTACAGAGAAATGCTGGAGTTTGTGTTAACCATGAGGATATTGCTTAAGCACTGCTGAATGAACCACTGGAATATCAGTATGCAAGAATCATAGAATCATAGAATGGCCTGGGTTGAAAAGGATCACGATGATCTTCTAGTTTCAACCTCCCTGCCACAGGCAGGGCTGCCAGCCACTAGAGCAGGCTGCCCAGAGCCACATCCAGCCTTCCTTCCAGAAGAAAGAGTGGTTTTCGGTCTGACAATGTCAGTAACAAGTCAGAAAAACTGCCGTAAGGCTATACTGATATTTGATAAAACAAGCAGTCTTGAACTTTTAGTTTTACACATTATAGGCTTCTAAAGAGTAAATTTAGCCTAAATACATAGACAAAGATACGTTAGTGACATTTTTTCTGCACAAATTCAATGAAAACTAGCTTCTGTGGTCATACTCGACCTTCTAGCCTGCATTCATAACATTTAATAGATACACCTTTTTAAGGGATTATTATAAGAATACATCCAAATAGCTGGCTGGATGTTATGGTAGATAACCTGATTTACTCTACAAGTTTCTCCTCTTCTTAAATATTTCTTTCTTCCTGTTTGGTTTTTGAAGAGAATCATCATAGCATAAAGTTGCATAAATATTTCTTAATCAACTAAGGGTGCCCCTTCATTTTTCAGGCACAGCAGACTGGTGTATAAACAGTATTAACTGTAGTTTTCACCTCTCAATGTAGAAAAAGTAAACAACAAGTGTTGTATTGATTAATATAGGGAGTTCCATATAGGAAGTTTTAAATCAATAAATAACAGAGGTATTAAAAAAAAAAAAAAAAAGGAACTAAACGTATCATATAACAATAGCATTACTTCTAGTTCTTAAGTAAGAATGAGGATTATGGAGAAGGGTCCTGGTATCCCTCCTGTGAGAGAGATCTTGACTTTTTCACTGGTGCATAGGAGGATATTCTCTGGGTACTTGAAGCCACAGACATCATCCAGCTTCTGAAGAAAAAGTTCCATCTGATATACAGCTAGTTTCAATCAAAAGATTGCAAGGCAGGTCTTCGCTTGTGTGCATGCTAGGATTTGGGAAGGTTTCACTGCGGGATTTGGGAAGGTTTCACTGGAGGAGGTCAAACAGCAGTCAAAGACCTTCTGTTTGAGAATGGTGAATCTTTTGCCCCTCATCAGCAGAGGGGCATGCAGGAGCAGGTGGATGTCTCCCATAGGAACATTATGTGGAGAGCCTGCTGTTATGAGCTTACCCATCTCCTTATTCCCCCACTCATTTTGTTCTCCACCTCATCAAAAGGGAGCAGCTGGCTGATCACCTGGTAGTCAGCAAAGATCAACCCACTGCAATTTCTTAATTTTGTTGAAGTGTTGACAAAGACTACAGCAGTGATGAATGTCACCAAGGGGGACTTGATTCCATTTTGTTTCTGTTTAGAAAATCAGTTCATCCTGAAGTAATTGCACTCATGGGTATTAATGTGCTCACTGTAGAAAATAGGAAGCTAGTGAAAAGTAATCTATTGAAAATGTATTGTTTCTTGTAAATTAATAAGTGTATTATTTTAGGGTTTTTTTTTTTTGAAAATCTATTTAGCCTAAGAGACAGCACTGTGACTTTCTATAGTCTGCTTTTTTTTTTTTTTTTTTTTTTTTTTCTAAATCCAAAACCCTTCATCCTTAGTACTTTCTTAATTAAGGAGCATAACACTACTGAAGTTAATGCTGAAAATCAAGAAGATGCAAGTCAAGAAACCTGTGGAGGGAAGAACTAAACCTCAGTCCAGTTGCTTTCTGCTTGTGCACATGGCTTTAATATAATATACGTTTATGTATATCGGTCTAATAAAGCAGTAGTTTAGCAAGTATGATGTAAACCACCAGATGGAGTAGTGTTTCCATGAGAAATTCAGAGTATAGCAAGGATGTGTTTTGTTTTTCGTAACATATATTGCAAGTGCAATTACAGAGATACTAGTTTTTTTTATAAATCTGCGTGTTGGAACTGGTAACTGCTCTCTTCAGTGCTTGCATGTTAAAGAGCACCTTTCTTAGCTTTTCACAATGAGGTGTGGTTTAGTTTTCACGTTGAGGCTAGGGCAAGTGAGAATGTTTTTTTCCTTTTTTAATGATATTTGTGTTAACCTGAGATGACAGATAAGATGTATGCAAATGTGATGATTTCTTCTCCTTTTGTACTTTTTTTTATATCCTAAACTTTATCTATTTGCCATGTTGTTCCTTTACAAAAGCTAAAGTAGCTAATTTTCTATTATGCTTGTACAGCATTTTAGGAATAGAAAAGAGGCAGGTGACTATTATGCCTGAAAACTTACATTTGGTGATTTTCTTTCTTTTGTTTGTTTTTCCCTCACACTCTTTTAG